ACGCTGGTCTATAAATATCACCTCATCACCATTACCACAAACTAAACAGAAAAATAATACGGAAAACGTGATATTGAATACGTAGGCGGGAGATTATCTTCCCGTCTCCATTCCAACCACTCTTCTCACGAAAACGCTCTTCTATAAATCTCACCTCATGATCATCACCAGAAACTAAATAGAAAAATAACACAGAATACGTGCTATTGAATACTTAGCCGGGAGATTAGCTTCTCATCTCCATTCCATCCACTGTTCTCACCAAGACGCTCTTCTGTAAATATCACCTCATCATCATGGCGACAAACTAAAGAGAAAAATAATACGGAAAACGTGATATGGAATACTTAGGAGAGAGATTAGCTTACCATCTCCATTCCATCCACTGTTCTCACCAAGACGCTCTTCTATAAATATCACCTCATCATCATGACGACAAACGAAACAGAAAAATAATACAGAAAACGTGATATTGAGTACTTGGGAGAGAAATTAGCTTACCATCGCCATTCCATCCGCTCTTCTGACCAAAACACCTTTCGATTAATATCACCTCGTCATCACTGCCACAAACTAAACAGTAAAATAATAGGGAGAACGTGATATTGAGTACTTAGAATTGAGATTAGCTTACCATCTCCATTCCATCCACTCTTCGGACCAAAACAGCCTTCTATAAATATCACCTCATCATCATTACCACAAACTAAACAGAAAAATAATGCAGAAAACGTGAGAGTGAATACTTAGGGGAGAGATTAGCTTACCATCGCCGTTCCATCGACTCTTTTCACCAAAACACTGTGCCATAAATATCACCTCATCACCATTAGGGCAAGCTGAACAGAAAAAGAATACAGAAAACATGATATTGAATACGTAAGAGAGAAATTGTCTTACCATTTGCATTCCATCCGCTGTTCTCACCTAAACGCTCTTCCATAAATATCAGCTCATCATCATTACCACAAACTGAACAGAAAAATAGTTGAGATAAGGTGATGTTGGATACGTAAGAGAGAAATTAGGTTACCATCGCCATTGCATCCTGTCTTCGCACCAAAACTCTCGTTTGTAAATATCGCCTCATGGTTATTACCACCTGCTAAGCAGACAAGTGGTTAAATACAATGCAGTAGCAAAATGTTACACTTGTTGGAAGGGTTCGAACTTTGGTCGAACTTTAGAAGGCTTTGATTTGGCACACTGGGATTGCAACCGTGTCGGCGGCCTGATATCGAACGATGGAAAGTTTATTTTTACGGCGTTCGAGCCGCCTTGAAACGGGGAACAAAGGTGTAGATTTGGTTTTTAATTTTTTTTTTTTATTTCTGAAATATTATTTTTTCTTCAGAAGTGACATATTTTCGGCTATATTCGGCCAAGCGATTTTGTTTTCTAATTTTTCATTTCTCGCCCGAAATCCTAGCGAAAAATGTAGCGACAGACTTTCGAAATTCCTCTTGATTGCTGAGAAAAATCATTTTTTGAGGCTATATATGGTACTGATGTAAATATTTAGCAGCATACTGATTTCAGTAATTAGTATCGAAGCAGAATGATTTTAGTAATTACTTATTATTATCCTTTTCAAATTAAAAGACCCGTGGCTATCTTTTGAATAACGTTTGAACGGAAAGAGCTATCGAGCTGCGGTTTTCAGTTTTGAATAGCCAAGACCTGTACGCATCTTTGCACCAGCAATAATAAATTTTGAAAAAATTCAAAGACCGGATTCTGAGCGGATGTTTGGAAAACCAGTTTGGATGTCTGAGAACTGAGATTGAAATAGGTCGATCTTTCTTCATAGATAGATAGTTCAAAGTGTCCTCTCCAAAATGAATACTAAGTAAACTCTTAATTTTTTCCGGATCAGGCATGGCATCGGATTTCTTGAGAATGCCACGATCAATATATCTTTAGGTGTGGCAATACCGAAAATGAATGGAAACATAGGTAATCGACCACGCTAAATCTCGTGGCTACATTTGTTTTTCAAAACACTAGTGAACCTATACTAGGTGAAATAACCCATTTTTGTCTAGGTTTGACTAAAACTAAAAAATTCATAATCTGGTCAAGATCCATCCAAATTACGTCAGAATATCAAGATGTACTCTATTTTACCTGCTCTATATGTTTTTCTACCTCAGAATACTAGAAAAGATTGTTGTACTTCGGTAGATTTCTAGGAAACCTTTTGGAAAACCAAAGGATTTTCTATCGACTTTTAGTCATATAGAGCAGGTAAAATGAAATGAATGTGGGAATACCAGTAGTATATCTGCTCTAAGGTTAACCAATATAAATATAAATAGACCTTTTCAAGTTATAATTATGAAATGCAAAATTATGAAATCCACTGTGTTAGCATACTACTAGTTTTCAACCCCAACTAAAAGCCAAACTTACCGAAGTCGTCCACCATAAATTCTACCGTAGCAGCCATGAAGAAAAAATTCAAATAAAAGCAAATAACTTGAACAGTTCGCCAGTGAAATGTAAACGAAAATGAAAAGTAGTTAGCAAATAGCCGTATTTATACCCGTTTATGTAACCGTCAGTCTCTTTCATTTTTTTTTCCGAAGATACAGTTTATGTTATTGTGCAGGTGTTATAGCGTTACACAGATGGCCGATCGTCATCAAGGGTATGTATGACAACAATAGCATAAACTGTATATTCAAAACTTTTCAAATTCAACACCTCGAGAAAGCTTAAGAATATTAATACTAATCAGCATGACGGTCAGATATTAATTACTGTTCTACTGAGAACAAAAGTGCGAGGTTAAGACTAATTAACCTGAGACCATCAATATTGGTGCTTTAGCATCTAGACTGGACCATATAAATTTAATATCCATGTTAGATCGACATTCTGCTATCAACACATCATTGAAATTATTCACCATTTCGTGATTTCTTTTCATTTGGACCTCACCAGTGTCAATGTTGATACATGATTGAGGGATTAATTTTCGTGGAAGTCGCATACGACATATTCTTTTACCATTTTTCATGTACTTATAGCAGGTGTCCGTATGTTTGTGAATACTCGCTAAACGAACTAATCTGCGGATGTGTCGTCGATATCTTCGTCTCCGATTAGGTCTCTATATTGATCGTAGACTTTTGTCTGAAACTATTATTCAGAATAATTATATCTGAAATTTACAAAAACCAAGGTTAGAATTACATACAGTCACAAGACATAATCTTCAGGATGTGCTCTTTTAATGTAAACGCAAGATAATGGTGTATTTTTATTGAAAAAAGAACAAATATATGCAAAGTATACACTGTACAAATATATACAATAGTGAATTTACAATAGAAAGAAGAAACACACAAACAAAAAAAACAAAGTCAATGCTCACTTTCTAACAAGCTGTTAATCAGCCGTTATACACCTTTTAGTAATTTTGTCTGTGTTTCGGAAATTCAATTCGACGAGCCAATGATGCATTCGAATATATAATTTAATAAGCTTGGGTGAATTACGAATCAATTCAGCTAATTCAGAAGTTTTGCAATACTCAAGAGTCAAGTTTCGAACATTAGACAATGTATCTGGTACTGGTGGTGGTGACATCGATAAATGAAAGTTTAAAACTGTTGTATCTAAACCCGGAAGCGCCAGAATTACTGCACTAGCATCAATTGCAACGTGTGGATGATGCATCTCATCCGTGTCTATTGAAATAGATGTGAGCATTTCCAATCGTAGCAGACGTGGCATGATGTTAATCAGTTGCCAGCTACTAACATCAATCAGACACAATGACAATAGACAAAATTCTTCCAAGTCGACATTGGAGTTAAAGACACTGATAGAATCTTGTAAATCGACTTTAACTTTATTGGACAATTTCAAATGTCGTAATTGATGTTTTATTGATGGCAAAACTTTTGTTATATAATTTTACACATTATTAGTGGACGATTGTTTAGTTAGATCTACCATATTAATTCGTAGACGATAGTCATGTATAATACTATTAAGACGATTGCTCACATTACGAGCAGATCGTATATCATCAGGCTTTAAGTGTTCCAGTATGATCATCAATAATTCGTCAGGTAAGACGTTAATATGCACCATATTACAAACGAGTTTTATTCTACAACAAAAAAAGCAGTTGGTTTTTAAAAACTCTATTTTGATCACCGATAACATATGACAGATCGGTACGACAGTAATGGTACGAAATGATTTGGAGACCAAGTACCATCATTGCAAGTTTTGGCCACATCTTCTTCTAGCGTATGGTTCCACAGAATTTCGTACCATTACTATTATCACCTGGATCTTCAACTGGATTACAAATTAGTACTGTACACGGTTCTTCGGCTAGCAACGTCAGCCAAGGCGAAGCGAGCTATGACCTTTTTGAAAACGTACAAAAAGTACATTCGTTAAGTGAATCAAGTTAGATTTACTATGCCAAACCTTTGAATTCCATATTTAGACTCCCTTCAAAACAACGGTAAAAACCAGCGAAATACAGTCGATAAGAACTCCTCAGTTTGATTTACCAGTAAGTCTAAACCAGACTTTCGTTATTATTGTTTTTTACTTTTAGTTTTACTTTTACATGCTTTAGGACCCAAAAGACGCACGACGCGAAAAGTTACGACTGCGATCTGTAAAAGCGAGACAAAATCCGTCGGACGCAGACCGGGAAAAACAGCGACGGCAAAAGAGGGTTATTAGGGTAAACGAAGATGAAGCTCAACGTGCAAATCGTCTATTGTACAAAAGAGAACGTTCAAAATCGTCTCGTGCCAATGCACAAGATGTACCAGAAATAGTTAGAAAGCTTCCACTATCGTTAAATGATTTGTGTGATAGCATTAAAATAATCTTCGTGGGCGAAAATCCACCAGAGAAAAAGGAATTCGCGGTGTTTAGGGTACGTAAACAGAAAGTACTCAGTGCATTAAAATGGCTCAAAAAATACAATCCATTTTACGAAGATGTTGATATTGATATGTATAATGTCGGTCAATTACCTGAAGATGATGTACCTGTATCATTATTACAAACAATGCATGTAACAACAGATGTTCAAGCAGCAACTACAGAGCGATCTAGTTATGTGCCGGATCTTCCAAGTGCCACTTCTGATGACGATGAGGAAGATGATTCAGTACCTTTATTGGGTAGTGGAGTAGTGGATTGTTTTCCTTTCGAATGTTTTACCGATGTATATGTGTCATGCATTTGTCTATGGGACCTCCTTTGATGGGCAGGTTGACCTTCTGTTCGTAGATAGGTTTGCCACATGTTTGCATTTCTCACACGATGCACTAGTTAATTCTGCGTTCTAAGCCAAAAGGAGTAGGCTGACTTTTCTATTCAAGACCTTTCACAAGCAGTTTCGGTCCATGAGAGTTATTGTTTCTTATTGACTTCTTCTTAGAGAGGTCTCCCACCGTTCCAGCGTATTAGGGACTATGTCGGTTATGCCTTAATATAACACAAGAGAGCACGCCACCTAAGAAGTGAGCTCCTCACACAAAAGAGATAGTTTGATTGAAACACATATAACGAAAGTCGGAAAATGGTGAATGAGTACAGAATAAGAGTTATTTAAGAAGTAGAAGAAAGAGGATTAAACGATTAATCAGATCATTTAATCACTTACCGTCATAAGGGAGATATAATTATGGGGAGGAATTCCAGATTCCAGTCTAAGCCCTGGACTGCTGTCTCATATATAACAGAAAACAACTAAAGGACTCCGTCAATATGTATTAGTTAATACACGAATTGACTACCAGAACCGACCAAATGAACTGAACACCGAATGTCTATACGATTTTCTTAGCAAATACATGAAACGACGAATGACTAAAAAGGACCAACAGTTTATTGAAGAGAATGGAAAAACCGACAAACAGGGCAGACCACCTTGTACTCGTTACCTCTTCGATAAGAATCATCCACAATTCGAATCACACTTATTAGTGAAACGATCAATAGATATCACTCCAGTGTTAGTTGGTCCACAAATACCTAATCGAACTCGTGACGACACGAAAGAGCGCTATTCTCGTTCTATACTCACACTATTTAAACCATGGAGAAAAGTTACAGACCTGTGCCAAGAAGAAAATACGTGGGTACAAGCTCTGGAACACAATTAAAATGCACTTTCGGCAACATCTCAGAAAATTATAGATAACATTCAACTCTTACATGAATGAAAAAATGATCGCGACAAACATCTTTTACAAGTTATAGAGGAAGCAAACTCAAATAAAGAAGATGAAGACGATGTTCCCCTTCGTAAAAGCTTTGCTGCTACTCTTTACGACGATGATGATGACGTGGACGACTTACTCGAATTTCTCGACACTGGTGAATCATCCGAGCCGTCACTATCAGCCGACGCAACGGAGAATTGCGTTGAATCCGCAGCGGTGGCTATGATTCGGAACCGACGATTTACACATTTGCATGGTAATTATTAAAAACTGTCGATAATTCCCTAAACGATCTTTCGTCATTATTTCTTCCTTTAGAACAAATAAATCAAGGAAAATTAGCTATCAATCCTGATTTTTGTAGCCTGTTTGATAAAGTTCATTTTAATTGGCAAGCTTTTCAGCCGGCCACATCTGAAACAGTAAAACAAAACAAAAAGTGGCAAAAAACTTTACAGATTGAAAAAGAAAAAGGAAGGAATGCCATTTTGAACGGTGGTGAAGATACGCAAGGCCGCTCTCAAGCTGATTCAGATGTTGTCCTTGTTGTAACTGGCACTCAAAATGATGTGGTCACTGATTCTCCTGCAGTTACCGTAGTACCAGTGTCTGTTCCTACAATACAAGGTGATATGGTGCAAGAGTTTACGCTGAACGAAGAACAAATACGTTCTTTCATGATTATAACTGAACATTTGGAGGCTAGAAGCCATCTTAGGAAAGGTACATATTACTTTATCCGCTGTTTATGCCTTTCTTCTTACACCTCTTTTTGACATGTTTCAGATGATGAACAGGTCAGATGATGAACAAGAGCAGTTGCTGATGTGTATATTGGGACCAGGTGGCACAGGAAAATCTCAGGTGATTAAAGCTTGTTCCAAGTATTTCAAAGTCACACATCGGACCCGTATGCTTCGAAAATTAGCTCCAACTGCTGTTGCTGCGTCCGAAATCGACGGTGTCACAATGCATTCGTTTTTAACGCCCATCAGATTATTAAATAAAATAAAACAAAGCGTTCAAGCCGGAAACAGTGCTATCGAAAGAAACTGGTTACACGTCAAATACATCTTTATTGATGAAATGTCAATGGTCGGCCTCCATCTGCTGTCGCGTTTCCACGAGGTTTTATGTATTGCAAAGAATAGAAAAGATCTTCCTTTCGGCGGCATTAATGTCATATTCTTCGGCGATTTTATTCAATATCCACCCGTAATGGACAGACCGCGGTACTGACGATACAACCAGTAACCAGCCTAAGAATTTGAAGAAGGGTGTTTCTGAGAAAGAAATACAGTGCAAAGTTGGCCGATCGATATGGCTCCAAATCATTACATGTGTACAATTAACTCAGCAAATGCGAACCGAAGATGAAAAATTCAACGCTCTGCTCGGACGGCTACGTCGAGGTCGAGGCACAGATGCAGATTATGAATTACTACTAACTCGTGTTGTTGATCGAGGTGAAGTTGAATCATTTTTAAACACGATCGACTGGAAACGAGCACCAATGTTAGTTTTCGGCAACGAGTTACGAACGCTGCTAAATAACCTTGCTGTAACCTCCCGATCATTAGAAATCAACGAAGCCGTAGTTATATGTCCTAGTATTGATACAATTAAATCCAATTTAATCGACAGCCCCATCTTGCACAAATTCGTACAAGCGTTGCCCGACAACGAAACCGGTGGTCTTCCTTGTATTTTACCGTTAGTCAAAAGTACAAATCTTTACTAAGAACCAAAAAATAATATTTGAATTAGTTTCGTCAATTTTCCTTGATTTATTTGTTCTAAAGGAAGAAATAATGACGAAAGATCGTTTATGATGATGTTCTGTTTAAGGATTCCTCTCAGGAGATACAATGTAGTCCTTAGGACAACGATTTCACTTGTTTGATCTTCTTTTCTTGTTTCTGTTTTTGATTTCTTTAAATAAAAAGCTTAAA